CACTTTTTCATTTCATTTTTAAAGGTAAAAGTGGCATCTTTTAGATCAAGCTTATGTACTAAATACATAAAATTAGTAAAATACATGTAATATTTGCGTTTCCAGCCGGATTATCGAATTTATTAGCACTTATTTGGCTGCCGGAAGTTTGATTATCTCCATCACACCACTAACTCAAACATTTCAGAGATGATAAACAATCATTGAACTTTGACAATTAGAGCAGATAGGTTATGTTCATTAAACATAAAAAACCAATAATTATTTAATATAAAGAATAAAATTAAATAAAAATATGGAAAAAATGAAACAGCACAACTTCTATTAAAAATGGCATTAACGATAAGAATTAATATAATGACCTTATCAATTTTATTAACTCAGTAATGTAAACTATTCGTGATTATAAATAGAAAATACAAATACACATAAAAACTTTCTATGTTAGGACTAAATGGATCCCTCTGATGGTGAATTCTGAGAGGGATCACGCCAATAATCAAATACATTATTCTATATTATTATAAAAGCCAGTATTTTGTTTTAAAAACATAAGCATTTTATTAAACAAAATATGTTTTCAGCGAGAAACTTTAAAATCTCATAACGAAACCAAATTAGATGTATATCTAATATGCCTAGCTGGTTGTAACTCATTTGCTAACTTTACTGTCTGTTAGAACACTGAATTTTAATCTCTGCATTATGTGCGTTTAGTTGAGATTGTAAATTGTGCAAAACAATGACGTCGGTGAGAAAACACACCATCATAGTGGGGACACACCGTAAAATGTGATACAACACACCATCATAGTGGGAACACACCGTAGAATGTGAAATAACACACCATCATAGGGGGAATACACCGTAAAATGTGAGAAAACACACCATCATAGTGGGGACACACCGTACAATGTGAGATAACACACCATCATAGTGGAAACACACCGTAAAATGTGAGATAATACACCATCATATTGGGGACACCGTAAAAAGTTAGAAAACACACCATCATAGTAGGGACACATCGTACAATGTGAGAAAACACACCATCATAGTGGAAACACACCGTACAATGTGAGAAAACACCATCATAGTGGAGACACACCGTACAATTTGAAGATAACTGATATTTACTAGAAGATTTATGTGGCTTCCATTAAAAGCATTATGCTATTTATAATTATGGGATATCTAATTGATTTGACAAAACAGACGACAAATGCATAGACCATTTGACAGTTTTACTAATACATTATTGCATGTATATTTTGTTTCAATATTCAAAGTGTCTGTATATATTCAAAGTTTACTTTAAAGGAGACCATGTGTTATTTCGCATACAAAATTTGACAAAGAGATACGTGTTAACTGAGCACATATTCTCTTTACGCATAACAGCAATCCTTTGATCTGACAGCCATCTGGATCGGTATGTTCAGAAATATACTTCATTTCATATTCAGAGATAACATAAAATTAATTGCCAGATCTGTGCAAATACTATGGCTAAACATATTGATTTTCTTTAAACTTATTTGAGAACAAGAAACAGTCAAGTTCCATTTTTGATCAGAACACGTTTTGTGAACTGCAATACAAATCCAAAATGTAGGCTAAGCAATGAAAACATAGACACAGAAGAACGCAGACTATTGACTTAGATTATCGTATTAACAGTTGATGTAATAAAGGTGCGTAGGTCTCCAATGAATTATTTCGTAGACTTTGTTTATACCTTGTACATGATTCCAATGAACCAAATCTTCATTCATGACATGCTTTGTATGACATTGACAATGCCAATAGATGTAGAAAATAACTAAATTAAAATGGACTTGCGGTATTACAGTTGACAGGTAGAACTGGTTATATAATATAATATAATATAATATAATATAATATAATATAATATAATATAATATAATATAATATAATATAATATAATATAATATAATATAATATAATATAATATAATATAATATAATATAATATAATACCCATCCAGGGATGAATGGATAAGTTGCCTCCGTGTGTCCTTTGGAAAGAGACTTCTTTCACATTTTCAAGATATGATATAGCTAATAATGTGTTAAAAGTGCCTTTTAAACCAGCTGAAATACAATAAAACCTATCGTGATTCAACGACCTTAAGGTATGTAAGAGAAAATATCCAAACCAACATCTTTAATGGCATTCAACATATAATTTATATGCAGATAACATAAATGAAATGCAAAAGAAAAACTGTTATGACTTAACTCCCCAAAAGTCCGAAAAGAGTTTTCCAAATAAATTCAAGTTTTGTACATAATGAATTCCAATCTTGCATTTGCTGTTGTGCCAATGGTATTAAATTTGCTGATGTGCCAACAATACTTTTTATATCACACTATTATATTACAATGCTAAATGCCAACACTTTAGAAGTCATTCCTTTTTAGTGTATGAGCTAATACGAATAGAAGATATATATAAATAATGAGAGAGAGAGAGAGAGAGAGAGAGAGAGAGAGAGAGAGAGAGAGAGAGAGAGAGAGAGAGAGATTAAGCAAATACTGTTACTATTCAATCCAGTTAAACAGGTTTCTAAATACAGTTTAGCTACGCAAATATATTTGGTTAAAAATATTTACCGATAAATCTACAAAAATTCTGTGTCCATGTTCTCTGAATATGCTCTCTCTCTCTCTCTCTCTCTCTCTCTCTCTCTCTCTCTCTCTCTCTCTCTCTCTCTCTCTCTCTCTCTCTCTCTCAAAGAATGAATGTAGTACCACGAAGAAAATCTTAAATCAACTAAAAAGATAAAACATAAAAACAACAGAATACTTAGAACATAGATAAACGATATTAACTAAACTTCAGCCCAACAATAGACATATTAGACTTAGCAAAAATGTACACATTAATAAGTAATGTTGGTGGTACATCTAATAAAAAAGAACAGAGTGAAAGGAAATAATTTATTTAATTCCTTGAATATCCACGTCAAAATAGAATGAAACGGTGATATACATACCTTTTCTGAGTTTATACGGGAACATAATGATTTATATATCACTTCTTTACTACTTGTTTTATTATTTTCAGATCAATTCATTATATGTATTAACATTGCGGAGTTTTATTAGCAAATATAATTTAATTTAAAATTTACATCCTGTGAGAAAAATAAGTTACACCTTCATTCAGATATATCCACATTTTGCTACACTCTTTCTATCGAACTTTGTCACAATTATTTTCTACTGTTGTGGCATGTCTCTTAAAATGTTCCAAAATTAATTGATTTCCAAAAAATCGATAAGTTCACAAGTTTTCATACATGTATCTGTCAGCCAACCAACAGAATGGAGTTACTGAGATAACTATAAATTATTCATTCCTAAATCCTGCATAATACAAACCTTTATAGGGAAACATGGTGTCATAAAATATTTTTGACATTATACTTCTGGTTTTCGACCTTCAATCTTGCTCCAATTGTAATAACTCTAGTTTTGATGAAATTACTCACAGAAATCCTACCGGTATATTCATTCAACAAATATGGTAGATTATTTTCTTTGCTGAAGAATGAACATTGTCAGAGAAATCGGCGTATACATGTTATTAAACGTCATTGCTACTATAAAGCCAGATATGATATCAATGTCGACATAATGATAATCCGTTTTGTTTCAGAATGATTCAACTACAAATCCAATTCTCAAAGAAAATTTCGTATCCATTTATGCAACACAAACAATGCTTCTTGCAGCTGTTACAGTGAATTAACTTTTTAAGATATAAATCGAAGCTTCGAGTTTGAAAAGCAATCATAAATATGAAGCCTATTCAACGATTTCACATTAAGATGCTCCTGTATGAAAAAGAGAAAAAATCTTAGAATATCTTGAAACATAAAATTGCAACTTTCGCTGCTTCCTTTCTGGAGATATGTTTCGTTGCCTGCCAGTATCGTCAGCATACCTTAAAATTTAAAGTACTCTGTAAGGAACTTTCTATGATCCAAATGCACCAATGCCAAAAGTGTATACTCTATATGTGCGTCAATCATATTTCAACACCCACCCACCCGCACAACCCCCCAAAAATAAAAAACACATTTTCTTGTATATTATGTTTGTCTGACTTTCCCTATAGAATTTAAAAATGAATACTTCTTCCAATTTGTTATACTTTGTCTTCATTTATGCTGCATTTCAATTCGTTTAAGTTAACAATGCCTTCAAATCGTATGTTGGTAATTGTTAATAAGTATGCTGGAAAGGAAAAGCATAATAATTATATTAAGTTCAAATTAATAGACTTAGCAAATTGCACCGTAGTCATTTACAATGGAATTATCATTACATAATTTTACTGAATACATCTGTCTTGTAGCACCGTGTGTTTATAAGTAATATAGTGAAGATATGAAGTACAGAGTTCAACCGATCTCGTTGTCGAGTAAAATTTTAAATTGATCAATGCGTCTTTTAGATCGAACGAGAAATATGACCATCACAAAAAAGGATACACCTCCAACTTAATTTCCTACGTTATTAGAAACAAGCGTATGAGTGAAACGAAGTTAACGTGATTTTTAGGAGAAATCGAATACATCCATTCTTTTCTAGATGTTCTATATCTTTCAAGAAATTATGGACTTGACGATATACAATATGAATTCAATCAAGGAGAAAAACAGGAAGAAAATTATATTCCATATTGAAGTAATTATGAATGCTGGAATGGAATGTGTAATGTGATGTGATGTAATGTGATTATGATTTTTAACGTAGCTTTAAAACTTTTTCAGTCATATCGCTAAGATGTCTGCAGTGTGGCAGTTTATAGTGATGTCTAGCACTGGGGCATCGTGCCGCAGACATGTGGCATGATATCCCACCCAGTCACATTATTCGGACACCAGGCCGACCAGTCCTAACTCTAACCTCTTAATTCTGAGTGTCAAACGAGGCAGCCGTTCGTTCCATTTTTGTAAGTCTTTGGTATGACTTGCCCAGGGATCGAAACTACGATCTCCCGCATCCGAGGCGGACGCTCTAACCACTAGGCCACCGGAGCGGTCATGAATGGAATATGCATCAATGTATTGTTCAGTATATGCACAGTATGCGTGTTATGATTATGAATTGTAATGGTCATTTTAAACACATTACCTGGCTCAGAGACAGTGGACTTGTACTTTGGAATGAGGTAATTTTCTGAGTAAACATATTGTGTCTTTTTATCTTGGAAGTTGTAAACGAAATCTTGGTGACGCATTTTATGAGATTTGAATTCAGATCATTGGCTTTCCACTTAAAAACAAGAAGACATAGTAAATAATTAATTAACTGCTAAAGGAGTTGACCTTGATACACAATGGTCTAGACATTATTATTCGGCCCCGAATATGGGTCTTATATTTTATACAAGGGATGTTTATCGGAGAATTACCTATTCCTATCTAAAACATTAAAATTTTTGAAGTCATTTAGTTGTATTTATTTGAGAGCATTTAATCTATATGTTTCATTTATTAACTGGCATTATGCGGCGCTCATAAACGTTGCATTATGTTTTGAAATTACAGTGAATTTCTTTAAAGACATTTTCCATTGTATCATTGTGATACATCAAGACTGAAACAACCCAAACTATTCCAGATAATTGCCACATTAACATATTGAACTTCATTCGGAACAACACTGGACCTCATTTGGAATGGGCACGAGTAATTTTCATACGTGAGAAAGATTGTCAGTAACTTCTCTTGGATAGGTGGTTCTTCTCAGGGTTGTTTCCTGGATCTTCCTCCATCCTTTAAACAGGAACCAAATATAGCCTATCTTGTGAGGAAAAATAAGGTTAAAGACCATATAGTCGTAACACTTTCGAAGTTTGAACCATAAATTGTCCAAACCATTCCAATCTATATAGAAAACTACCAGTCAATGTCCAGTTTGCACAGTATTTCTCTTTGTTATCTGTAGTCAATATAACCGGAAATCGATTTTTTGTAAAACACATATATACTGATATCGGGGAGTATTTGAGAACATATCGCATGAACCATTTTTTTACTGTGCTTCCCATTTCATGAAATCAATCGAATAGGGACATTTTCCATTCTTTCCCTCTTACAGTTGGGCGCTTTGTTCTAAACTTAACCAGTAGGAAATTCTGTTGAATGATGGATGCTTGGTGCTTAAAAAAGACAACATGAAATTCTGTTGAATGATGTGTCGCGTGCTTCGCACGTACTGTACAAAATACATCAATACAAAATTGAATGATAATATATTCCACTGTCCACTTCCCCACATCAATTATGATGAGTGGATATAAGATATAACGAGAGAAAGAGATAGAGAGAGATAAAACGTTGCAGCTTAAATATCTAGTCAGCATTACATTGAAATAAACCAGACAATCCCACTATACAATAAATGAATGACTTTATATTTTGCTCTAAATTAGTGATTGCACTATTCCTATGAGAATATATTATTCTATGTGCAACCATTTCATTCCACGTGTCTAGTTTAATCTGAGACAAATGTAAGATGTCAATAATATTATCTGGCATTGAAGCGCATGGTCTCGCAAATATGCACTGGACCCTATGTCCTGCCGTCCATTCCATGATGTGGCCTTGTACGCAATGGTTTCTCAATGATACCGTCACAGACAAAAATATGATTTTAAGCAATTGCTGCGTGCTAAATACTTCCAAGCAGAATCTGTATCGAAACATTTTACCCTTGTGATTGCTGTGTCGTCAAAAAACTCCTTTGTCCACACATGATGATACCGGCACACATGATGATAGCCAACCATCATGCTAAATTATAACCAATCAATGTTGCGCCGTGCGATGGGCATCAATGAGAATCGATTTGGCTTTCGTCTGTATTCCAGATAAACATATTGAGCCATTCAAATATGCTGATACCAGCAACATGTGCTGGTATTCAATGGTACCTATCTTATGCCGCCTAGGTATTGTTTGCTTCTTCGAAGATAACCTGTATCATCGTTCACGAGATGCAACGCAAACTTGAGCAACCATTCAAAATATCGATTGCCATTGTCCTTATATGTACCTCTCACTGTGGTTAGCATACTCTAGTGGTGATATGAAACTCGACCCGTGAAATGTTTGTGTGGGAGATATAGTAGCTAGACTTCCAAGAACATGAATGTCGTCCACCTGGAACCTCTTCTGCAGTATTTTCCGAACTTCTCAAGCATCTTAGCATTACTTGTATCATTTTAATTATTAGGATCCTCCATCCCTTTATGGTTCAATATAACACTATAAAACAATAAACTTGATGATAAAAATCGTCATGAGTGTTTCTAGATACAAATCTAACGGTCTAACATCTTGGTTCTGTTTGGCGGTAAATGTGCCTTGTTGCGTCTGTTTGGCAAAATATGGTGGTAAGTTTTATCCTCGAAATATTACGTCCATGGCATGATGTTTTTGCCATTCTAGTCTAACACGGAAAATGCAATGTTATTCCTCATTTATGTGTCCAAATTCATTGATCATGCAGAGTCCATTTCCATCAAGCAGTAGAAAACATACACGTAGTTTCTGAAAGTCCTAGGTCTCATCAAAGCAGCTGGGTATCTTATCCTACACAATCCTCTATACATGCGTAATTTGCAAATGATCCAGCTCTCACAATGGCGACTGTTGTTGATGATGACCGATTATAGCATCAAAGCAACGAGTGAGGCTGTATCATCCTGGAGGGGAGACGCAAACACGGCTATCTCACGGTGAGAGAGTCTGTGGATACTTGCCTGCCATCCAAAGATCATGATGAAACTTAGTGCCCATGTGTGCTAAATAATTGTGTCTCTCTTTGCCGATAACTCCTGGGTTGCGGCCAGGCCGATTATTTTCAAACAGTCTCAGAACCCGTGTTCCAACCTTGCCCGGAACACTTGGCTGTTGCCTGGACAGTCTTACAGTAAAAACAATTTAACCCTTCAGTTGTGATCACAGTTGTACAAGATATAATGCTTTCCACTTTATAGGCCTACGAACTGATTTGAATGTCTTCAAAGACAGGTGAAAATCAAACACAATAACCGTTTTACTGCCTCTATCCGACAAGATCTCGCTTTTGTCTTTGGTTATTCGAGGAGGAAACGTTTGCTACAATTACTATTAAGGGCTATTGTTCCATGGTATCGGACATATGCTGTTATCATGGCAGGAAGTCTATACATAAGACCTCATTGGTTTGTTGTCCATTATCACCTTCTACTTCACTAATCATATTTCCTGAATTAATTAATTTCTGCGTTCTGACTTTGCTGAATTCAATCATGTTCGAATCTTGAGCCAATACCTAACTCATTTCACGCAGAGCCTATAACCTGACCTGAAGATCAGTAAATTAATGCCCTCTCAGTTGACCAGATCAGAGGGGTCTGCAGTCACTGTGACGCAAACCGCTTTCGACGTCAAGAACATGTTGTCGTCAGTGGGCAACCAAACATTCATCATATGACCTCTCTTCTATAATGAAATAACCCAAGAGGCTTTCGAACGGAATCCGAGACGTAGGCGCAAACATTATCTGAAGCATACTGGGCCAATTCGTTACTTCTTTCGTTCAGTTAAACCTTGTACAGGGGACAAAGAACCTTAAGCACTCTCTCGTGTCCGACGTTGGTAATATGTACGAACTTTCGCAAAAACAAATTCGTTTCATAAAAGTCTCTCTTCTGGAGTTAATAGCATTCTCTTCATGCCTCTTTTGACGTTAATGTTTCAATCCAATATATTGTCGAGGTAGTCTATTGGCTTAAACAGCCAGCCTTTGCAAGTAGATATCTTCGAGACTTCGCTTCACAATGTCACACACTGGATCATCAAGTCTAGTTTCTGTCGCACAAACGCTAACAAATCGAACTGACATCAGCACAAGTTCCGGACGAACGCCCAGCAGTGCATTTTCAGTTTATAGGGTTTATACGGATATTGCCCTTAATGTTTATGTGCAAAAATAATCTCATTAATTCTACTTTCCAGCTGTAATCCATGTTTGTTGGATGCGATCAGGAGAGCATGTTCACCTTTATTTAAGGAACCCAGAATTATCACTTCAAAGGTGTTGCCTGGATGTCTAAAATCCCTCCTCCTTCCACCTATTCTCCTAATGGTAATGCAATTTGGAAACGTATTCAATGGAGACAACATATATGTTGTCAATTGTATTTGTCTTAGAATAGTTTCTCGATCTCATTACGTTAATACCCTCTCAAACTCCACAAAACGAGAACATCATTTACATGATGTTCACCTATGCTTTAAAATAGCAGCACCAGTAGGTTTTAAGTGGAGGTAATTGGCAAGACTAATTTCTATTTGTCTATATATTATAGACGGAAACACGAATCTCCGTCTTTTGGAGGGTTGTTTTTAAGAACAATTAGGGCTTATATTTCTAAGGGAATGAGTCTGGGTAAGTATTCTAGGAGAAAAATAATTTGCTGATAGGTTGCTTTCATTGTGATTATTTTGCATGAAAATATACGAACCGACGTAAAAGTCTTCTTATGTCGATTTGATCCAACACACCTCCACTAAAGTGACGGAAATATTTAGTCAAAAGGATATATAAATTTAAACGAATTTCTTTATTATATAATGATCGTCGTCATTTTCATCATCATCATCATCATCATCATCATCATCATCATCATCATCATCATCATCATCATCATCATCATCATCATCATCAAAGTTCTACACGAAAGATTTTAAGTAGCACTGTTAAAATGCTTGACCCTACTTTTTCCGTACTTTTAGACGAGCACAGTTAACAAAAGGTAGGCGAACCATACGATGGAGAAACAGTCGAAGCAAGTACTTGAAGCAGCTTACCAGAATGCGAGACACATGTTTTGTGCATCGTTGGTATGAATATTCTGGCCGATTCCTGTGGAATAAATGTTTAATAATCCCAATCCCCAACAAAATAGGATGTAAGCATCAAGTGTAAATTAATTGGATCTAATATTGATTTATACTTTAAATTGAAAGATGAATT